GGGGGCTGGTTGGTGATCCTTAGGGAGCACATTGTTGATCCCTAAGGGTGAGGGGGCTGGCTGTATCCATCCTGCCCTGTTTCCAGCTGCTGTGTCCTGGGGGACTCTGTGGTGGGCACAGCCACCAAGGGTGGCCCAGGGTGGCCCGTCCCTGTCCGTGCCAAGGCGGGGATGAGCCTGACCCGTTCCCATCCCTGTGTGCAGTGGGGGAGCAGGTGGTGATCCGGTCCTTCCCCATCGCCTCCCTGACCAAAGAGAAGAAGATCAGTATCCAGGCCCAGGCGGATCCGTTCCTCCAGGAGGGATTGCAGCTGCGCTCGTGCACATTCCAGGTGGGGCCCCGGGCTCTGGGGGGCTCTGGGGGGCTCTGGGGGGCTCTGGGGGGCTGTGGCAGCTCCCTGGCACTGCTCTGTCTCAGCTGGTGAGACCCACGTGGCCATGAGCTGCAACTGATGCCCACCTTGTCCCCCAGCCCAGAGCACTGAGTGCCGTGTCCAGACCTTCCTTGGACACCTCCAGGGGTGGGCACTCCCCCTCCTCCCTGGGCAGCCCCTGCCCAGAAGGTGTGAGGCATCCCCACGTGGGGCTCCAGGAGGTGGTTCTGCCAGACCTCGTGCAGGTCCTGGGGGAGAGAAACATAGCAGGGAGAGATGTCACAGCAAATGGAGTTATTGGGCATTTTTACATCTTTGGGAGATGTGTGGAGGTGGAGCAACGCTGGGAGCGAGCTCCTAAATTTTCTGGCCGCTCCTGCCGTGCTCAGAGCTGCCTTGACCGGTCACTGGGACACCCTGGAGCATCCTGGAGTCTCCAGGAGGAAAGGGAATGGGGCAGAATAGCCAGCACGGAGGGTCAGGCGGAGCAGCCTCCCAGCCCGGCCCGTGCCCGCTGCGCTCCCCGCTCCCGACGGGATCCGAGCCCTGCCCCGATCCCTGGGAAGGGTGGGTGACCCCTGGGCCTGCTCCCTGCCATCCCCCAGCTGCTGAAGATCGCCTTCGACGAGGAGGTGGCTTCGGACAGCGCCGAGATCTTCCGGAAGCACCTGCACAAGCTGCGCTACCCCCAGCACGTGCGCGGCACCTTCGCCTTCACCGTGGGCCAGTCGCCCAAGCAGGCCATGCAGCCCAAGGCCAAGGAGAAGAACCCCTCGCTCAGGTACCTGTGCTGGGGGGGCAGCCACGCCTGGGATGGATGGGCCTGATCCTCTGGGGCACCTCGGGGCTCCTCCTGGCCCTCCTGCAGCCCCCCCAGCTGAGCCACCCAACAGGGAAATGGGGCGCAGGGGCCTGAGCTGGACGTGGCTCCCTGAGCCCACCTTGCTCAGACCTGTCCTCACGCAGGATTTCCACTGGTTGGAGCTCAGAGAAGGCTTTGGGCTGGAAAATCCCGCTGAGCCCATTGAGTCCAACCATCCCCAGCACTGCCAAGGCCACCACTGACCCACATCCCCAAGTGCCACATCCACAGGGCTTGGAAATCCCTCCAGAATGGGGACTCCCCCTGCCCTGGGCAGCTGTGCCAGGGCTGGACAGCCCTTTTCCATGAAGGAATTTTCCCAATATCCAACCTGACCCTTCCCTGGCACAGCTTGAGGCCGTTTCCCCTTGTCCCGTCCCTTGTTCCCTGGGAGCAGAGCCCTTCCTGTCAGGGAGCTGTGGGGCGAAGAGCTGTAGGATGTCCCATGTCCTGCAGTGTCCCCAGCCCTGCAGGGGACGGGTCACACTGGGACCCAGGAGTTTGCTGCAGTGGCATCCCCAGCCCTGCTGAGGAGGTGTCCCATGGGAGAGGTTCCAGTGGGCTGGGTGACTTGGAAATATGATCCTGCAGTGCTGGGTGACTTGGGGACATGATCCCGCAGTGCTGGGTGACTTGGGGACATGATCCTGCAGTGCTGGGTGACTTGGGGACACGGTGCTGCAGTGCTGGGTGACTCGGGGACACAGTGCTCCTGCTATGAGTGACTTGGGAATGCAGTGCTGCAGTGCTGGGTGACTTGAGGACACGGTCCTGCAGTGTGGGGTGACTCAGGGACACAGTGCTCCTGCACTGGGTGGCTCAGGGACATGGTCCTGCAGTGCTGGGTGACTTGGGACATTGTGCTGCAGTGTGGGGTGGCTCAGGGACACGGTCCTGCATTGTGGGGTGGCTCAGGGACATGGTCCTGCATTGTGGGGTGGCTCAGGGACATAGTCCTACAGTGTGGGGTGGCTCAGGGACGTGGTCCTGCAGTGCTGGGTGACTCAGCAGTGCAGTGCTCCTGCTCTGGGTGGCTCAGGGATACAGTGCTCCTGCACTGGGTGACATGGGGACGTGGTGCTGCAGGGCTGGGTGGCTCAGGGGTGCAGTGCTGGGTGACCCGGGGACATGGTCCTGCAGCGCTGGGTGGCCGCTCTTGCTGTGCCCTGTGCCCTAAGCGTGTCGGTGTTTGTGACAGCTCCCAGCAGGTGACCCATCTGTTCCAGGGCCTGGCAGGGGGGGTGCTGTCCCTCGGGCACCTCGGCCATCCCAGCACGTAAGCTGCCTCCGGCCTGGGCGGGCGCTTCCGAGGTGGCGGCCCCGGCTCAGCCCTCCCTGCTCCCAGGGCTCAGCCCTCCCTGCTCCAAGGGCTCAGCCCTCCCTGCTCCCAGGGCTCCCTCTCGCCTGCTCTGCATGTGGCTGTCCCTCGGGAATGCCCCTTTCCCAGGCTGCTGGGTGTGGGATCTCTCACCTGGTGTAGGATCTCTCACGGTTGCATCCTCCTGGTGCTCCCTGGCACTGCTGGATGGCAGGAGCTGTGCCTGTACCACTCACTGCGGGGGTTTCCAGAGCTCTGGCCTGTGCCCCGTCTCAGAAGTTTGTCTGGGTTTGTGACGTGAGCTTTGTCACCCTTCCCAGTGCAGTCCAGTGCCCCCACTGTCTGCGAGTCTTGTCCCTCCCGTTAGGAAGCTCTCCCGTTCCCATCCCTGTTCCTGAGCTTGTTCCCAGGACAGTGTTCCTTCTCAGTCCCGAGGCTTTCCCTCCCTTGGTAGTTGTAGGGAGCATTGGGACTCTCTCACTGTCCACTTTGCAGAGCAAAACAAGGCACCTTCTGTCCTCCCTTTAGCCCCCACCTTGAGAAGAGGAAATCCCAGGAATCTTACCATCAGCATAGATCTTGTCCTGGGCTGGACGTGGCCCCTTCCCTGGCTGATGGATATCCCACATCCCCTGGGCTGGATGTGGCCCCTTCCCTGGCTGATGGATATCCCACATCCCCTGGGCTGGACGTGGCCCCTTCCCTGTATCCCACATCTCCTTTATTTCCCCCCTTTGGAGCCCAGGACTCACCGAGATGGTGACAAGGCCGAGGTCCTGCGTGTGGTGAGGCCGTTCCTGCCTTCAGGAATTCCTGCCCTCTGGAGCTCTGTGGGGCAGAGCCCGTTCTGACCACGCAGCCCAATCCCCCTGGGTTTGGCAGCTCTCCCTTCCCGAATTTCCCCAGGTGCCTCGGGAGCACCTGAGCCCAGCTTTGCTCTCCCTGTTCCTGCTGTGCCATCAAGGTCACTCCCAGGGAGGAGCAGCCCTGCACCCGGGATGGGCTGGCAGGGATCCCCTGCTCCCTGGGCTGGATCCCCAGCTCCCTGCTGTGGATCCTCTGATCCCACCAGCAGATCCTCTGGTTCCTGCCATGGATTCCTGATCCCAGTGGTGGATCCCCAGGTCCCTGCTGTGGATCCTCTGATCCCAGCACCAGATCCCCTGGTTCCTGCCATGGATTCCTGATCCTGGTGGTGGATCCCCAGGTCCCTGCTGTGGATCCTCTGATCCCAGCAGCAGATCCCCTGGTTCCTGCCATGGATCCCCTGGTCCCTGTGGCAGATTCCCTGGCCGCTGTGGTGGTTTCCCTGGTCCCTGTCATCGATCCCCTGGACCCTACCATTGATCCATGATCCCAGGTGATGGATCCTGACCCCTGCAGTGGATTCCATGGCCCCTGTGGCAGATCCCCTTCCCTATATCCCACCTCTGTCCCTGCCCTGAGCTGGAGCCCTGTTCCTCTGGGATGAGCCGTGGCAGCTCCGATGTGGAGGACATGGTGTCAGTGCCGGGACAAGGCCGGGTCCCCTCAGATCTGGAGGGGCTCTGCCCCCGCCCTGGTGCCCCCAGGGCCGAGGTGCTGGCAGGTGACACGTCCCCTCCCACGTGACAGTGACCGAGCGGGGCCGGGGCTGCTCCTGTCGCTGCTTTGCTGGGTGACAGTGTTGTCTCTGACCCTCGGGGCTCCTCTGGCCGCGCTGGCTCTGCTCACACCCGGGCAGGACGTGTCAAGGGCTCAAGCCCCTGCCTGGTTTCGCAGGACACTGTCCAAGAACCTGGTGAAGAACGCCAAGAGGACCATCGGCCGGCAGTACGTGACGCGCAAGAAGTACACGCCGCCCGCCTGGGAGCAGCGCGGCAGCCAGCACTTCCCCGAGGACAACGAGGACGAGATCTCAGGTGGGGAACGCCCCGGGCGGGGACGGGAGCATCGTCCACCTGGGAGAAGCCCCTTGTTCCGAGGGGAGCGGGGTGGGAGCATCCCCGGTGCAGAGCGCTGCCCCCGTGGGACCCCTTCCCAGTTCCCGACAGCCCCAGCTCTTGGCTGCTGGTGGTGCCCAGTCAGAGCTCAACCTGCTTCCAGCACAGAGGAGGGAGGTCTTTGGGCGGTGCCCTCGGCTCCTCGGGTGGAAAATCATGGATTTGAGGTGCAGGAGGCCAGGTGAGGGTGGACAGAAGAGCTGGACTGGTTTAGGAGTAGCGAGGGACTGGGAGGGACAGGAGCCTTGTGTGTGGAAGTTTAGAACCTGCCCGGGTGGGAAGCCTGGAGGAGGTGTGGTGGGTGGGATTTAGGGTTTCCATGGGGGATCCAGTCCCAGTTCTGCCCAGCGCTCTGGTTTCAGGTGAGGGAGCCAGGAGGCAGCTCCATCCCTGTCCTGCCCCTGCGGGTTCGGAGATGCCTCCATCCCATCCCATCCCATCCCATCCCATCCCATCCCATCCCATCCC